CCGTGTCCCTTTGGCTGTTAAAATGGTTAAATGTCAAACAAAATAATTCTTTTGGACTACAATAGAAATTCTCCATCACAGCTTTAAATAAATAACGACCCTTGAAGACATATATTCAATTTTCAGGCACTGCTGTGTTTTTTGGTTTAGTTTCTATGACAGTAATGTATGTATAGAAATTTAAAACAATTTCTATGCGCCGCTCTGCGACCATACCATATTCTAAATTTATAAATTTTATAAGTTCATTCCTATCTACTTATTCCAAGGTCAACGAACGCTTTTAAATAAATATTTTTGTCCGTAGCAGTAGCGCTCTCAGAAAAAATTCAGAGGGACGAGAAAATAGGTAAAGTAACCATGATTATAAGTACATTACCATAGAGAAAACTAAAGTAAATATGACGACAAAATAAGAAACACCTCATAGACCAGGCAAGTTAGACAATAAATCAGCAATTATTCCGTATTCTGGGTGATTTTGGTCTAACTTGCCTGGACTATCAACACAATATGATCGCACTCAACTTATTCAAATTTAAAATTAAATATTCATTAAGATTGTTCTAATAACATGGATCTATTTAACAATTTATGAATAGAATAAAAGTAAAAATGCTTAATAATTTGTTATGTAGTATCATTCAACGTTAAACAGAATGATTCAGTCATAATGTCATTAATTTTAAGGGAAGATAGGACGAGTAGAATATACGGATACGCGATTAAAAAAAATTTAAAATGTTACCCCGAAAAAAATTATTTTCAAGTCATTATTTAAACCTCTTAGGACCGCACCTGACCGCTGACTTACTAAGGTTTATCGAGAGTGATCTTGACCTACCGTATTCGGTCACTGTTGGGATTTACATTTTTAATTTATGGGCAACAGCCCTTGAACCTCTGTAAACACAATCATCTAAGGATGGGAATGTTTTTGTAAACGTAACTTCAGTATCTCTCAACAGTCGCTAACCTAGTTTTTACTGTATAGGTATTTTTAATAGTGAACGACAAAAACAGAGCATTTTACATAGGCATATGAATGAATAAGAACTTTTACATTTTAAATACTGCCAAGTATTATTTATTTGTTAGGTTATTATAATTTAATATTTTTAATATTGTTAACGTTTTCACTGTTTTTAATATGAGTTTTTAATATTATGTTTAATTAATTATTCAGTTTGTAGTACGCATATTTTATTGTGTGACTTATTGGGATCCGCTGAAATTTGTTTTTGAAACCAATTGCAAGACGACTGGGGAAATCAGCTGTTTCGCTTCAACATTCGAACGCTTTGTGGTGCGCCGGCGTGTTTCCAGTCAGCAAATGTGATGCAAAGTAGGGCGCCGAGTTAACGGGAGTTAAGAGGTAATTTGCTTATTTCTTAAAAGGTCGAGTAAATTTTTTTTTTCGATCTGTGTTTATTAGGCCTTCTGAATACGTAGTTAAAATTAATGACATTATTATGACTGAATCACCCTGAATAATTACACTCATAGTAGATTTGAAAGCTTAATGTGTATATATTTTAATAGAGTTGAACATCCGGAACCATATACACTGTAGCCCATCGAAAATGTACCGCAAGGCATTACAGGGTAGTAATGAATTTTTCGGCAAAATCCAAAAACAGGTAAAGTTTGCTTCTGAGGGGGACAACTTTTGGCGCAAAAAGCATAGCAAAATCTTCAACCCCCTAAGTGGGGGTGCCATCCCCCAAATTTTTTTTAAATGGGAATGGGGGTCAAGTGGGGGGTCATTAGAAAGGGCTTTTAATTCTCTATACATCGATTCTTACTTTTTGAAAATCGATCCATTATTTTAGAAAATATGCAGCTTTGAAAATACGAACAATATTTTTGACGAGAAATGCGAAAATCGATTTAATTTTACTTCAAAACTTACGGTATTAGCTTGGTAAATTCCTTCAAAAGAATTCGCTTTTTTTTTTCTGATTTGCGAATTCTTTAGCCTGATTTTGGTGAGCAAAAAATTGTCCGCTTTTTGTTTCGTATTTAGATAGGCCACAAGAAGTTGCTAGATAACTGTCTTGTGACTTGTAGTTGAAGAGTACCAATACTGCCGAGTCTTTTAAATTGATTAATTATGGTGTACTCAATTCCAGAAAGAGTAGAAATTATTGAGCTTTTTTTCAAAAACAATGAATGCGGAAATCGGGTCGCCGAACTGTTCAACCAACGGCATCCTGAGAAACATGCGTCTGGAAAAATTGTTCGCGAATTGGTGGCCAAATTTCGCGAAACTGGCTCCGTTCATAACAAAAAGAGGCAGGTTGAAAATCCGGTACTAAATGAACCTACGGAAATAGCGGTATTGGGGCAAGTGGCAATGGATAGTACGCTGAGTACAATGCAATTGGCTACTGCGACAGGAGTGAGTCGTACAAGTGTCCAACGAATATTAAAAAAATACAAATTCCATCCTTATAAGATTCGGCTAGTGCAAGAGCTAAATGAAGACGATTTTGATCGTCGTTTGCAATTTTGCGAAATAATGACTGAACGAGCGATAAACGATAATTTCCTCTTTAATGTGTGTTTTTCGGACGAGTGTACGTTCTTCTTGAATGGTTTAGTGAATCGCCATAATTGTCGTTACTGGGCTGATACCAATCCAAGGATTTTCCATGAGACACACTCCCAACACCCCCAGAAGTTGAATGTATGGGCAGGTATTTTTGGAAATTCCATTGTAGGTCCTTTTTTCCTTCCTGGAAATTTGACAGGCGATATGTACTTGGATTTACTACAAAATGTCATCGACCCAGCTCTAACAAATATCATAGAGGACGACCCTGCTTACAATGAACACGAACTGATTTTCCAGCAAGACGGAGCTCCTCCACATTACTCGCTCAATGTGCGCAATTACCTAAATGAGACGTTTCCAGGACGCTGGATAGGACGAAGAGGTGCAATTGAGTGGCCCCCTCGGTCACCCGACTTAAATCCTTTAGATTTCTTTCTCTGGGGGCACATTAAAAGCAAAGTTTACAGCACTCCACCTGATACCTTGGAAGATCTGCGAGGACGAATCATTAATGTATGTCGCGAAGTAACACCGCAAGTGCTCCAGAATGTTCGACAACGGTTTGAAGACAACCTGTATCATTGTATGCAAGTTGGCGGACAACATTTTCAGCATTTACTTGACTAATACCGTAAGTTTTGAAGTAAAATTAAATCGATTTTCGCATTTCTCGTCAAAAATATTGTTCGTATTTTCAAAGCTGCATATTTTCTAAAATAATGGATCGATTTTCAAAAAGTAAGAATCGATGTATAGAGAATTAAAAGCCCTTTCTAATGACCCCCCACTTGACCCCCATTCCCATTTAAAAAAATTTGGGGGATGGCACCCCCACTTAGGGGGTTGAAGACTTTGCAATGCTTTTTGCGTCAAAAGTTGTCCCCCTCAGAAGCAAACTTTACCTGTTTTTGGATTTTGCCGAAAAGTTCATTACTACCCTGTAATGCCTTGCGGAACGTTTTCGATGGGCTACCCTGTATATTCTTCCACATGTAAACCTTTGGATCGAACCGACTTTGTTTAGTCAAAATTAAAAAAAAGTGGTTTATATTGTAAACCGAATATTCTAAATATGCTGCAACACTCGTAAGTTTTCGCCAACTATTTAAAAGTGTGAATGGTAGAGTACTTGAGAAAATTTTTAAATTCTTTAGTAATTGTTTATCCATGGCTTAAATTGTATATTTAATACATTATTACTATATAATTCTTATACTACTTAATTCTTTAACTTAAGCTATCACTAGTTAAAAGCTTAAATGTTACACACGTGTATAATTGTAAATATAAGAATTATTTTTAAAATATCATTTCTAAATTAAAAGAGAAATAGAGTAATGAGGTATTATCTAACAAGATTACTTTTGTTTGCAACTTGAACTGATACTGTATATATCATAAATCATCTCTACTTTTAAAATAATCAAAACCTTTCATTTTTATTTGTTTATTTGTTTCTACCTTTTATCCTAAAATACATAAAAGATAAGATTGTGCTTCATAAAATTATTTTTATTTATACTCTCCATATTTATATGATTTCTACTTTTCTTATTTTTTTTAAGTCACATATTCCGGCATATTTATTTTGTAAGTTACTAGGTACTTACATATATACCGAGAGATCCAGAATGATTGAAGCTTTTGGGGAACGCAGCCTATTTCTAACACCATCCTTAGCATATAAAAATCTGTAGTATTGACAGAGACAGCCACAGGCTGCGACCTCCAAACACTTCAGTCATTCTGGATCTCTCTGTATAAAGGCGAAAGAGGAGGGATCAATTTTCTTTTACCACATAATTTTCATTACTACTATACCATTCTATTTTTAGAAATATACATTCTCGTATACCCATAAGTTTTCGATGCGAAATAACAGAGTAGAGTTGTATACAGTGTGTCCCCGGATGGGGTACCGCACTCTTGTAAACTTTTTTACTGTTCATTTCTCGAGAAAAAGATATTCTTGATAAAAAGTTTTGCTTATGTTGGGAAGCCATGGGCAGTAATCAAATATGTATGTAATAAAAAAAATAATTTCAAAATGTGAAATTTTCCCTAAGCAAAATTCTTTTAATTTTTGTTTTCCTTAAAAATTGTATTTAACAAAGTTGTTCAAGAACTTAATATGTGCTTAAACACGGGGTTTAGTCACAAAAGAAGAATAATCACATTCTGCAAATAAAAAGACGCCGCAATTTTTAACCATCTTGCATATAATTATATACCATGGATATTTCCTTATCATTGTTAAAGTCAACGTATTTATTTTTATTAACTGCTCATCGAATAATTTGTAATAATAATGCTAACCCTGGAGCAACGAATTTATCTTGTGAAATGTTATGGAATCGGTAATGTTTCATTGAAGTTCTTTAAATGCATCTAGAATTTGTAATCTGTTTTGGTATACTCATATAGAAGCAATGCTTTTTTTCAGATAAAACTTCAATATGCAAGGAGACCCGTTACTGCCACCGAATTCAGAAAAGGGACACCCTTTAGAGAGGGCTACAATATTTTCGCAAGCATTTTTCTGGTACGTTATTTTTATTATCATTTTAATTAGGATAACACATGTGTCTGATACTCAATTCCATATTCATCCTTCCAATGAAATATTTTACTAAATCCGAAATAAATACTTTTGATTGCACCTTCAACAAAGACTTTGGCTTCATAAAGCATCATTCTAGGTTCTAAAGACATAGCCAATAGAACATTGTAAAACCTGAAATTTTAGTCTCGAAATAGAACAAAAGTTGCACAGCATCACGAAGAAAGAAAATTTCTTAAATTTACAGCAGCCTCGTACTTCTGGCTGTCCTTGTCGAAAGGCATTGCTCATATTTCATATTCGGAGGATTGGAGAAAGATATACGAGATCAATAGATATTGGACAGTATCTTCCCCTTTCACGTATAAATTTCAAATACTTATGGTATTTCTCTTCCGTGAATTGTTACTTTTTGAAATACAATTTGTAATTGATCTGTCACTTTTAATGATATCCAATAATGGGTCTCTGCCTGTTGATGAAACATTGAAGAATTGTAATGATGAATATTGATCCACTATGTTTTATAGGTATTGATTAATTAAATCGTACGTTTTGTTTTAAGTTGGTTGTTTCCCTATTTCGTGAAAGGATTTAAGAATCAGATAACCGAAGATGACATGCCCGGTGCACTCAAGGCTCACGAGTCCTGCACATTAGGAAACAAATTGGAAAAGGCATGGCATTACCAAGTAGCAAATAATGAAAAACCCTCATTGTTAAAGGCTTTACTGACAGTATTTTATAAGGAATTAAGCATTTACGGCTTACTTCTTTTGATACAAGAATTTATAGTTAAGTGAGTAACTTATGACAGAGCAACCCTTACCCTTAGAAGTAGCTTTAACATTATGAATGAGGTTTTGATGATGATTTATTTTAAAAAACTTTTTTATTTTATTGACACTTTAACTCTATTTTTTATCTTATTCTCTTTGATTCTATTTTTTTACAGTAAAACCCAAAATATTCTAACCAGTTAGAAATTCACTCATAAACTCAGTTTTCTTAACACTAACTGCTTTATGACTACTAGACAAAAAAAAAACAGTTTTAACCATGAATGACGTCTACTATTAAAGAATTAATCCAATTTTGAACCATTTTGTACATATTAATCACTTATTGAATAGTTAATTACTTTATTGTTTTGTTATTGGGCACATATACTTGTCGGTGCTGAATCAAGTTTAACGGCATAATCAAGGCAAATTGATAAATAAGCATATTCATAAATCATGGATTCAGTTGACTTGTATATTGTAAATACAGATAAGGTACCTCAAAAATGTTGATCAATGTCCTTTTTGATTATAATATGTTAAAATATCACGTAAATTACTTATTTTACTACACTGTAATAAATTAAAAAAAAAACGAAAAAATATATTGCTGGTAGTCAATTTTTCTGTAAATAACATTAAATTTTAGATAAAGCAATATCATTATCACACTTACAATTTGTATTTCTGTGAAACCACTCCTAGTACTTTAATATATCTAATCTCACTTATTTTTATGTTTTGAAAATTATGTCTTGGATTATTGTTATAATATATTTTTTTCCTGTACTTGAAATTTATTACATACGTAATGACGCAAAATAGTCTAAATATGTCTTCTTTCTATATTATTTTGTGACAATATATTATTGGATACTTAAGAAGTAATAATAATACCAAAAAACCACATATTTAAATATTCACAAAGGTTATAGTAAAATGGAAAGCTTAATTGAACTTCATTTATGGCAATTAGATAACTGCTAATTATTAATAAATAATTTTTATTGTTGCCTAAAATCGTTACAATAGTATGTTACTGTGTCAAAGAATTTATTATGATCGTGTTATAATAATTTTTTTTATTTTTTAATAAGGCAGTAATTGCTTAAGATTTCCTCCTGCCAAAGTGTTTACTATAATCATATCAATAATAATCACCAGACTGTAATCAATGTACCATTTTTAAAGTGTTTTTAATTTTTATTTTAGACTATCCCAACCTTTACTAATTTCAAATTTCCTAAGATACTACGAACCAGGACAAAATGCCATGACAAAAGACGAAGCTTATATCTATGCTGGCTTGATTGTCATCTTTGCGCTCATAAACGTTCTGTGCGTACACGGATACTATTTTTGTGTGAGCCACCTAGGGATGAAATTGAGGGTAGCTACATGCTCACTCATCTACAGAAAAGCTTTAAAACTAAATAGAACAGCACTTGCTGACACCACTGTGGGGCAGATGGTTAACCTCATGTCTAATGATGTTGGCAGGTTCAACTTGTGTACTCAGTATATCCATAATTTGTGGGTTGCTCCCATAGAGACGGCTGTGATTATGTATTTGCTCTATATCTACGTGGGACCTACAGGATTGACGGGGGTGATATTTTTAGTTTTGTTCATAGTTCCACAGAGTAAGTACGTATAGATTTGTTTTTTAATGTTGTAAATTAATCTAAATCTAAAAGCGTTATAAAGGTGTCCTAATTATTATTTCATTTACCACACTTTTTAGTGTATATGGGAAAGAAGATATCCCAATACAGACTAAACACTGCCAAGAGATCTGACGAAAGAATTCGCTTGATGAGTGAAATAATAACAGGAGTACAAGTTATAAAGATGTATGCTTGGGAAAAACCTTTTGCCAAACTAGTAGAAATATCGAGAAGGTATATATTGACAGAGTAATTACAGATTTTTAATTGGACTTATTTTAGGGCAGAAATGAAACAAATTAGTGCGACCTCCGCAATACGTGCCATAATGATAACCTGCGTTTCGGTTTTACATAGGTCTTCAATATATTTATGCATATGTATGTACGTTTTGACGGGAAGTACCGTTAATGCTGCTTATGCCTTTACGATTGCTTCATTTTATTCGATCCTAAGACAAGCGGTAACAATGTATTTGCCACGTGCTGTTACCCAACTCGCAGAAACTAAAGTTTCAGTGAAGAGGATCGAGCGATTTTTGTTATTGGACGAAAAGACTGATTGTTGTGAAAATAATAACGTCAACAATGAAATACCCAATGAAAATCAGACTAAAAGCGATAGTGATTTAACAACTCACAATGACAAAGTACATGTTTCTTTAAAGAATGTAACCGTGAAATGGAATAATAGCTTAGTCGAAAATACTCTGGATAACATTGATTTTAGTGCTAGTGCTAATCAACTCGTCGCAGTTGTGGGCAAAGTAGGAGGAGGCAAATCTGCGTTGTTCCACGCAATTTTAAGAGAATTGACTCCACTAGACGGTTATATAGATACAGTAGGAACGGTCTCTTACTCTTCACAAGATCCATGGATATTTGCTGGTACCATCAGACAAAATATCACATTCCAACAAAAATTTAACCAAGAAAAATACGACAGGGTTGTAAATATATGTGCCCTTGAAAAAGATTTTGAATTGTTTCCTAACGGAGACCAAACTATAGTCGGTGACAGAGGTGTCACCGTCAGTGGTGGTCAGAAAGCTAGAATCAATTTAGCTAGAGCTGTTTATAGGGACGCGGACATATATTTGCTGGATGATCCTTTATCTGCGGTTGACAGCAATGTCGGTAAACATATCTTCGAACAGTGCATACGCGGTTTCCTAAGGAACAAATGCGTTGTTTTGGTGACTAATCAGCTACAATGTTTACAGGATGCAGACCAGATATATCTCTTGCAAAATGGAAAAGTGGAAGCTGTTGGTTCGTATCAAACTTTAAGAGAAACTGAAAGTGATTTTAAAGCCCTTTTAGCTGAATACAGAGAAAATGAAAAGTCCGATGTCGAATTTAGGGAAGATGAAGTTAAGGAAAGTACTAATAAAACTAAACCTGCAGATAACAGGGAGCAAAGAAGTTCTGGAACAGTTTCCAGAAATGTGTACAGCAATTATCTAAAAGCTGGTGGCAAGTGGTACAAAAGTTTATCGATTTTACTCGCCTTTTTAGCAGCTCAATTCTTTGCAATAGTAAATGACTACTTTGTGACACTGTGGTAAGCATTAATTCGAGTTATACAATCTATATACAATTAAAAAATTTCAAGTAAAATGATTATCACAATACTATATATGTATATACTAGATATTTTTAAGGAACTAAGGAGGATGTTCAAGGGCTAATAATTTTATATTGCTCACATTTACAAAATCAAAATATTCATTTATTTAATTCTTTGATGATATTGAATCTGGCTCAATTAGTAATTTTTGAAATTTATTTTTAGGGTAAATTTAGAACAATGGAGACTTCAGCGTTCCTTAAATTCATCTACATATAATGAATCAAAACTTGATGCAAATGCCACTACAGTTATTAATCACTCATCCACTCATTCTAAGGGGTATGTCCTGAATGTATTGGACACAATCTTATCGGAAGATACCTCGCTTATTATATACACCGTTTTGCTGTTAACGTCTATAATTTTAGCTGTTGCTCGATCGCTCTCTTTCTTCAAATTTTGTATGACAGCTTCTGCCAGACTACATAATTCGATGTTTGGCAGCGTAATAAGAGCTCCAATGAAATTTTTTAACACAAATCCTTCCGGAAGGATTCTAAATAGATTTTCCCATGATATTGGAACGTTAGATGAGGTATTGCCATTGACAGTAGCAGACACATTCCAAGTAAGTATTAGCATTCATCTTATAGTTTCGGATGGTATAACGTGACTTTTGCAATTTTGAATTCTATTAGTTATTTAAAGGGAAGCATAGAGAGTGCCTTTCTTTATAAATTATTGTTAACGCCAGAGCCATCTATTATTCTCCTGGAGTTAGCTACGTGTTTGAGCGGTAAATTTAAAATTTGTAATAATAATGGATTTTGTACTACATATGTGTTCCATTTACCTGAGATCTTATTTAATGTTATGCGATAATTATTATTCAAAATAATTGAGACTTTTGAGGTTTCAGGTAAATAAAACAAAACTTATAATATAAGACCTAACTCAGGATTAACTGCTTCCCAAAATAACCAGCCACATACTTTTTACAACAAATGTTAAATTAATGAGAATTGATTGCGTTAACTGACATTTTCTAAGAAAATGTGTCATTTTTTTAAATCATCAGTAATGTGGAATATAAAATATAGTTGTACATATCTACCCATCCACGTGCATAAAAATTGGTTATATTTGTAAATAATATACTCCAGGACAGTTTTAATTTTTTTTTTAAATAAATATATGCAGTAATATAAATAACTAGAATATAATTGTATTGAACTAACCTCACGTGATACAAAAATGAATTAGTGTTGTACTGTTTACAAGAGTTAGAGAGTACATTGTGTAGTAGTTGTATATTTAAGTAAATAGGGTACAAAGATAATATATAAATGACTGGTATGTATCAAGTAAACGCAGTAGTTCTGAAAAATTATTTATTTTTTAAAATATACTGTTACAATTGCATAATAAATTCTTCAAACAAAAGTAAGACATCTCTACAAATTATGGTGCTAAAATGGATTATAGATTTGCCATATTTGCTAATTTTTATTTATTTGCGTTTAACTGAATGTTAAATTAAATATACTATGATTAAGTAATGAAAATATAACCCATATGCAACTTCAATATATTTTGCATTTTGCACCATAAAGCTATAAAGGCAGGGAACCATTAGAAAAATTGTGTCCAAAACGTTTACTAGAAGTTTTACATTATTTTATAAATTTATCTTATTTTGATATGGCTGTTAAAAAATATATTTGATATTGACGCCATTGACGCCATCTATAAATTTGTCTACAAACTAAAAAAAATACTGGAGACCGTTGACTCTGAAATGACATGCTCTTAAGAGACGCTATCAAAGTTCTTTATTCCTAAATTAAAATTTTTCCAGCATTTCCAAAATTTTTTGTTGTTGATCATTGCATTTTGATTTACCTATTTCACCCTTTTTGAAAATGATTTATTAATAGCAAAAGTATAAAAAATTTTTTAGTTAACAATGGATTCTTCAATATTTTCTATTTATACATCTTCCAGAGTTCAACTTTTTTCGCCTACTTATTTGAGAACTTGGTTATTTCAAATCACATGGCTTAATTTAAATTTTTTCTATTTGTCCATCTGCATAGATAAATTCTGCTACCAATTGACGTATTGATTAGTATCTGCATTAGCATTATTCGTACCTCCGTTTATTTTATGCAGGAAACTTCGGGGGCAGATAGATCTCTTTAAAATAAAATGTGTTTGTCTTATAAACATTGGTCTGGAACATACTTGTTTTAGAGATACAGGGTGTTGAAGTGGTTAAAAAAAGTTGATTTTTTTTTATATCTCCGGAATCTATCACCCGATCTCAATAAAATTTGATACAGATAATCTATTACAGTAGGCCTTACATTCCCTAAAATATGAGCCTTAAAGATACAACCAGTGGTGTACAACTGGGCAGGGGTCATCTCCTTTTTTATAAAAAACCTACGCCACTGCATTTTTTACAAGTTATAGTAACGGATTTATATTCTAATGCACAAAATACGTACAAAATGTAACTTGAATTTTTTCCTTAAGATTCGCCGTTTTCAAGTTATTCATTTCTAACCATAATATTACAATTATATTTATGTTTATGCATAAATAAGTGGAATTACATCAACAAAATCCATTACACTCATTTCCACACCACCTGTGAGATAGAGTTCCTTACGCGTTTTAGTTTACTCTGGAAGCCTAACCCACTATCCTTACAAATAAAAACAACTTAAATCAAAATAATAATAAATGCACATTTACCAAAGGCGAAGGGTAGTGAATTTTCACAATCTGCATATTTGGTCACAAGAAAATCCTCATGAAATTCGGACAAGATTTTTTCAATACGAATTTTCTGTGTGGCTCGGAATAATTCGCAATAAAGTTTGTGGGCCTTTCTTCTTGCCACTCCGTCTAAATTCCCAGTCATTTCTTAACTTTCTATTTGAATTATTAAATGATGTTTCATTAAATATATGACAAAATAGCTGGATACGATGGATGGTGATCCTGCGCATTCTGGGAGAATAGGGAGAATAATATAAGTATGGCTTAATGAAAATTGTATGAGGCGATGGATAGTTAGAAAATCAAGTCAGAAATGTATCGATATGGGTGGTTCGCATTTTGAAGAATTGTTGTAAATATGTAACGTTAATTTTGTTTCTTGTTTAATTGCTGTTGCTTGGTAAATATATTTTTTATTATTTTGATTTAAATTGTTCTTATTTGTAAAGAGTATTAGGCCTCCAGGGAAAACTAAAAACGTCAGGAACACTACCTCACAGGTGGTGTAGAAAGGAGTGTAAATAATTTTGTCGATGTGCTTACAAATTGCACTTACTTTTAAGGATAAACGTAAATACTCTTGTAATATTGAAGTGTCACACAAGGGGATTGTACTGGTATGAATAACTTGAGAACGACGAATCTTAGGGAAAAAATTCAAGTTACCTTTTTCACGTATTTTATGCATTATAATATAAATCAGTTACAATGTCATGTAAAAAATGCAGTGATGCAGTTCTTTTTGTAAAGAGGGGTGACCCCTGTCCAGTTGTACACCACTGGTTGAACCTTTAAAGCTCATATTAGGGAATGTAAGGCCTACTATCATACATTATCTGTACCAAATTTTATTGAGATCGGTTAATATATTCCGGAGATATAAACAAAAATCAATTTTTTAACAACTTTAACACCCCGTACGGGGCTGTTCCAGACCAGTGTTTATAAAGGAAACACTTATTATTTTAAAGAGATCTCGAAGTTTCCTGCATAAAATTTGGACTACCCTGTATATGGTACGCTGAAATTGTATTTCAAATTATTGAAAATTACCTCGTTATTCATCTTTTAGATCGCTTTGATTCTTCTGTCGATTTCCATAGTCATTGGATGTTTAAATCCTTTTATATTAGTTCCAACTGTGATAATCGTTCTTATTTTCTATGGATTGAGGAAGGTATTTTTGGCGACAAGCAGAGATATAAAACGTGTAGAGGCCGTGAGTAAGTTACATTTTAAACTGCAACCAAAACTATTATAAAATATGACATTTTTAGATCGTAGTCCAATATTCACACACCTAACAGCTTCAGTGAATGGAATTACGACCATTCGAGCCTTCGGAGCGCAGGATATTTTGACAAGAGAATTTGACCACTTTCAGAATCAATACACCGCTGCCAGTTTTTTGTTTCTAGGAGCCAACAGAGCTTTTGGTTTTTGGTTGGATTTTCATTGTGTTGTATATACTGTTTTCGTTATGATAAGCATATTATTTATTGAAAATGGTACGTATCTACTGAATCATATACAGGTCTGGTCATATTTTTATTTCCGATACAAAGTTAGTAAATTATATAAATATTCACCAGTCTCCCCTAATAATTCTGACTCCACCCCCATATAATTTCTATAACTTTATGCCATCGATAAAAAAACGCCATAAGAAGTGCGCAAAGCCTGCAGTTCTAAGCTCTCCTTGACTATTGGTTTATTGTCTCTGTCTTGCATTAGGAATTTAGGAACAACGTACGTCTAAGATACGTACATATGGAAGATAGAATACTGGACAATAATTACGTTTTTGATTTATTGCGATGGCATAAAGAGTATAAGCCACGGCCTGGAATTGACAGCAGTGTTGCCGTACGTACAGTAATTACCCTATTTGTACGATATTTTTTTGCTCGTACACTTAACCTCACCTCCAGCTAGCATTTTCAAATTACGGTTAGCATCCTAGCATTGATGACATATTTCATTGAAAGCTTATTGTTTTCCAAAATGTTTCAAGCTCTTAAGTAACTTTAAGCTAGGTAGGTATTTTCTAAATCCAGGTTATAACTTACTATGGGTTGGTAGACGCCTTGATGTGGCCCCAGGGCTTGAACTCGCATTTTAATTGAATGCGAAGTTAAAATGCTAAAACGTTTTAGAAAATACCTTCATGCTACTAGTTTAATGTTACTTAAGAGCTTTTGGAAAATAGTAAGCTTTTACTGAAAAATTTCATCAGTGCTAGAATGCTAACCGTAATTTGTAAATGCTATCTGGGGGGCGAGGTTAAGTGTACGAGCAAAAGAAACTTAGTTCATCAATATTATTTAGTTTTGGTTTTAACGACAAATTTTATAAAAGTTATAACGGTTGCCACGTCTGATTTGTATTTATTTTTATTTTTGAAAGAAACAAGTGAGAAAGAGATACGAATGAGCAGGGGAGATCCCTCACGTCCACACAATTTTTTTGCAATTTTCGGATTTTACTAAAGGTAAGTTGGATGGGCAGTTTAAATTTTTGGGGGGAATTGAGGGTGTGTGGGAGAGAGTCCATAAATTTTTCTTTTTTTTCGTATTCAGTGGACAATTTTACTAAAGAAGGGTAGGTTCACGTCTCAAAAACACAGGATTTCTTTTGTCGGCCTGTGTAGTCAGACCGTTATTCTGGCATGGCTTTCAAAATAGTAACCAAGCGTCAACTCGCTTCTGATTTTCGCTCCAGTCACACCTCTAACAGCGTTCACTGCTTATGCATTAGATTTTTCATGTATTGATAAATTTTTAAGCCACCAACAATGGCGAGTGTTAAAGTGTGTGTTTTCAATTGCAGTTACAATGACAAAAAAAAATGACAGATGTAAAGTACAGCAGCGATGATGGTACTCAGGACGAATCATCAGATTGCGATTCAGAGTAAAAAAAACCAATTTAAAACCATTGTTAAAACAAATATTACCAAATAAAAAATTTCGATTGCACTTAAACTTATGTAGCTCTGGCATAGTCTTAACCTCTGAGTAAACTTCTGTTGTTTCGTTATAAGAAACATATATAATATAAAGATTGGCTACGTAAAATGCTAGAACTGTACTTAATCATTTATTAACAATAAAAGATCAAAAACGCCGGGCGTAACAACCACGGCAAAATTTGCACGCGCAGTGATAAATAATGTTTTTTTGACTATTAGCCTCACTTTTGACTTCTGTAACTTTACAGATAGTCTATTTGCATTATAAACTAACAATAAACAAAATGTCAGAACTATATATTTTGTGATTTATTTTTCAATTCACAATTTACTACTTTTTCGCTTCTGAGAGCGCTTAAGCCACCACCTAGCCTTCTGACGATATTTTTTCTGTGTTTATCCACTTAAAATCTATAAGTGTACCAGTTTTCATGACTATATTCGATTATTTTTTTATTGACAAAACTTTTCGCGTTTAACCGCCCGTTCACGCTCTACGCCTCTGGAGCGACTTCTGACTGATGAGCTCTGGCTTTGTCAATGTGATAACAAACTTTTAACAAAAAATCATGACTATAGTCGATCAGTGCAGTCCACACGTAGCTCTTGGACTAAAAGTATTCCAACTTTATTACAAATTATTTATAATCTTTAGTAAAAACTAATACGTATTCTAAATTAAAATGAGTGGTAATTCTTAAGAAAAAAATAATGAATTATTTTCAAATGCTTATTAAATAAAGCTTATTATTAATTAATAAGGTGTTCAAACAAACCACCTGCTTGAGCTTCACAATACCCTAATCTGCGTAAAATTCTTGACGAACATTTAATATTTCTAATTTTAAGCTGTAATTCGTCCAAATTTGCGGCTCTTTCGTGTCGATGTTTGTAGAGAAGTTGCGTTAAATGACCCCATAAAAAGAAATCGCAGGGTGTCAGATCTGGAGATCAAGGAAGACAAGGTATGATACCCCTTGTGGAAATAAACCTTTTAGGAAAAGTTTGTTCCAAATAATCTTGAACAGGCCTTGCGTTGTGTGCAGGACATCCGTCTTGCTGAAACCAAATTTCCTCAAAATTTACATCCAAGTTTCGTACAGCTGGTACAACACTATTTTATCCCACAATATTATCGCCTAAAAGCCAGCCCAAACATTTACCTTATGAGGGTACTGCGTTCTTAATGGTATACTTAAATGCTTGTTTTCCGGGGATCAACATTGGACAACTGAAAGATTATGACGGTCTAGTAGGGAAAAAGATGATTCGTCTGTAAATAAAATCTGCCTAGCAAATTCATTATTTTCATCAATTTTTTCCCTAATGGATTCACAAAACACCATACGCCTTATTTGATCACCAGGAATAATTTCGTGAGAAGTTTGCATTTTATAGGCTTTGTAACCAACTGTACGACTTGGAATGTCAAGTTCTACGGAAATTTGGGAGGAAAAACATGGCTCACTTACTTCCACAAAAGCACAGACATTAACCTCTTTTTCTCTCCTTGCTTCAGGAATTTGACGAAGTTCCTGATTGCTACATTTCGTACACTGATTAACACATTCACATTCCTCAAACTGATGAAAAATATTTAAAACAGTTCTAGCAGTGGGGACTGGTTCGTTGGGTATGAAAATATAAATCGACCAACGACTTTCTCTGTACTTTCTGCACGACAATATCATTTAATAATATTAATTTTTTGTTCGACACTGTACACCATTTTTATTTTGTAATATTCCCTTTACTTCTTACCAAAGGTTGGAGTGGAATAATAATAAAAATAAAACTAAACAAACAGCAAAGCGCTTTAGGTACTAGGTCGGTTCACAAAAAATGCAACAGGGCAACTGCGCACCCACAGTCAACCAATTACGAGAGTCCGAGTCGAAGTCTCGATGATATATGTCATGTCCGACCCCTTCCACCAGAAGTTCATAGGGGAGAAGGGAGATGCGTGCAATTTACTCTAAGTTTAGTCTATGCCAAAGAATTACCTGGCCAGACCGGTATTATATTAACACAAATAAAGCAACTGCTTTTAGAATCAGAAAAATAAAATTGCAACAAACCACTTGAGTATATATTTTTGTATAATTTCAGAGATTTTTGGGGGTAACGTGGGATTTGCCCTCACTGAGGCCGTTGCCCTCACGGGAATGTTCCAATGGGGCATAAGACAGTGGAGTGAGATGGAAAACCAAATGACAGCTGTAGAACGAATAGAAGAATACATAAAGATAGCACCAGAATCTGACAGAGAATCTAAAGATCCTTCCAAATCTTGGCCAGAAGAGGGAAATATTACATTCGATAAATTATGTCTTCGATATTCTCAAAATGATCCTAACATATTAGAAAATATAACTTTTGAAGTGAAACCCAAAGAGAAAATTGGCGTTGTTGGAAGGACCGGCGCTGGAAAAACGTCCCTTATTGTGGCCCTGTTTCGCTTAACTGATACAGAAGGTGAAATTGTAATAGATAATGTCAATATTAAAGATGTAGCATTAAGTGTGCTTAGATCAAGAATATCTATTATACCCCAAGAACCTGTGCTATTTTCTGGAACTCTCAGGGAAAATTTAGATCCATTCGAGGAGTTCAACGACGAAGTATGTATACATTTATCGATATCAGCATTTGCTTATGCAAAAAAAAATAACAGATTGTCAACATGGTTTTTAAGTCTATGTCTGCAACAACTAATCTATTTTGCATAATAGAGTTCATATTATATGCTCTTAATTTGAGTTGGCAGGTAGACGTCATTGTATATGATCTTGTAAGTACTTTTACTTTTTAAATTTCTAAATTACGCAAAATTTGATTTCCTACTAATATGATAAAGTTCTTTAGGTCTTATTTCAGTAAACGTTATTAGTACGTTGAATTTTAGGTGTGCCTCAAGGCTCGGTGGTGGACCCACTGCTTCTCACATATTTATAAATGCATAGTTCTTGAGTTAGTCGAGTGTTTTTAATAATATGAAGAACTACTAAAGAATTAATTACTTAAATAACAGTATTGAACAACGAAGTTCTCTAAATAATCAAAATATATGGTGTGCCATCAACAGATTACAGTTAAATACAAACAAGTGCAATGTTTGATCGTTTACTCTTAAGAATAATCGTATTGTATTTAACTACTTGTTGGATGACTTTGTTTTCGCTAGGTCACAATCATCTCGTGACCTTTACTGTACTTTATTTTATCAACCATTTTTAGGTAATGTGGAACGCTCTGGAGGACGTACAACTCAAAAAGGCAATCAATGATCTTCCCGATGGCCTCAACCACAAGATCTCACAAGACGGGTCCAACTTTAGTGTGGGCCAAAGGCAGCTGTTGTGCCTGGCTAGAGCAATTATTAGAAATAACAAGATATTGGTCCTGGATGAAGCCACTGCAAATGTTGATCCTTATACCGACGTGTTAATCCAGAACGCAATAAGGGAAAAATTTCCATACTGCACAGTATTAACTATTGCACATAGGTTGCACACTATAATGGATTCAGATAAGGTGCTGGTAATGGATGCTGGTAGGGTGGTTGAGTTTGATCGACCACAAACGCTGTTGCAAAATACCGACGGTGTTTTCTATAGTCTGGTGAGAGAGGCTGGTATAGCAGCCAATGAGACAGAATAAAATAATAGATGATGGTCACCGTGGCTGTGATAATATCTGTTGATAGATGTTATAACAGATTTATAAAGTGCTTTTTATTATACACGATTATGTGATTTCTATTTTTATATTATTATTTCTATACATATATTATTCATATGTAGCTTATTTTATAATAAATTTAAGTAAGTGTTGAACAATGTTTAATATTACGAGACCTACAGAAAATTATTTAATCGTATGGAAAAATTATAATTTTGTGTTTCCTAGATGTTGCAAAAAATAGCAACGAATTTAACGTGCTTAAGTTTTAAGAATTTAATTAATTTTTAGTTTCTTCCTTTATTATTACCTATATAAAATAGGACAGTATGTACAGTGAACTTGTAATAGATATGAGATTGGAGTTTTGGAACTGAAGTTTCTGTTATTTCTAACAAAATGCTAAAATTCTGAGTGAATATTTTGGGGCATTTCAAATTTTTATTAATTTTTATTGAAAAAATTTTGCTTGCTAAAAATTATGTAGGTATTTTAAAAAAATAATAACTTAAAAAATGTCCGCTTCTCAAGTAAAAGAAATTGTTTTTTTTTAGAAATACTATTAGCTAATTACAAGAGCCATCATTTTTAATTGTATCACTTTGCTCTTTTAAATTTTTTGTTATATATACAGGGTGTATCACTAAGAGGGCCCAGTAGGATTATCTCAAAAAGTAGTCAAAATTGAAATCTGAAAATTTGTATACAGGGATTTATCGAAAAAATCTATTCAATCAAAATAGTGTCAACTTTCTAGCACTTCCAATTATACCGGAACTCATCATCAACTCTTATTTAAATGGTGTATATTTGTACATTTTTACAGAAAAACGTACGGTGGATTTGATGCACTAAAGAACTGAATAATAAACGGTGTCTGATTATTATTATTGAACTAATTTTCGTTATCGTTATCTTCATCAAAAACAATAATTCAGTATATTAAACTAAAAAGGGCGAATCTTTAAATAAACCCACCCACCATACTCGTAGATTTTTCTGTGTTGAAATCAATAATTTCCAATTTACACAAGAACTGTTTACTTTGGATATAGGGAACTGTAGTATCATTTAAAAGTAAATTTATTTCTGCATCCACTAATATAAGGGTCTACCATTTGAAATTTTTGAGTAAATTCAACTTCAACGTTATAACATTGGCCACACGTTTTTAAACACTCTGTATGAATTTTTGAAAATTTGACATAAGGTGGTTGAATTCCATTGCTTTTAAATTATCCATGCCAAATTTCATTGATAAATAAAGCAAGTTATTCAATTTTCAAAAATCACTTACATCCTTCAATTTTTTTCGAAAATTGATAATAACTTGAAAACTATCACATTTTGGCCCATAGTAGGTACCCTATATGAAAATAGTCTAGAATTTGCCGTTGAATTAAAAAATGCATAAATATACATAGCGTTCCATTTGAAATAACAGAGCTGATGCTGACTTCCAGTATAACCGGAAGTGCGAGGAAGTTGACACTATTTGCATTGAATATATCTTTTTCATAAATAAATAAATAAAAATTTTCAGATTTCAATTCTGACTACTTTTTGAGATAATCCTACTAAGTCGTCTTCGTGATACACATCTCTAAACTCTAAACTCTGCTAAAACTAGAAATTTCACTTATGATCCTTCAAAAAAATTTAAACAGCTGATCACCCTACGCCTACGCTACAAAACAAAAAAGTGGGCTGATGGGCTGTAGACGAGCTAATGTATTATAAAATATCTTTTAAACCAAGTGTTATTTTAAAGCTAATATTTTTATTGACAATATTAATTTCTACTCTGCATAGTATATAAATTGTTTGAACTGAACGTTTTATTGTTGTAAATTCTATTTTTACATAAATTCGAGTTTCCTTATTCCACATTTTGATTCCATAAATTCCACTAATGGTCAACCAAAAATTCTAATTGATGAACTGGTCGATAGAATCTACCACAGTAGATTGTTATCACGACCTCACCAAACTATCGACTACACTCTTGGCACGAAGAAATTCAGAAACTACTTATCGTGCTGTCGACTGGGAGCTTGGCGACTCCTGTAATCTAGCTACTTGGAGGTCGGATTCAGTGGATGGTTTGGGGTCAGGGGTTCTTGTGCAGAGCATCTGGCGTCGACCGGGCGTCTGCACTAAGCATGGCGTCGATATGGGTCCTTCGGAGGAGTCGGAGGGGGCCAGGTCGACTAAGGAAAGGCGAATTGGGCCAGAGGGGAAACCCAGCAGCCAAAAGTCTTCGCGTCGTGCAGTAGTGGGATCGCGCCTGAGAGTTGGAACTCTGTATCAGCCTGACCGATACAGCTAGACCTGGATCTTTTTACCATATTTTTTTCGGTATTTTTTAAATTTTAATAGATATTTATATTACTTTTAAACATTGAAAAGAGTAAGCAAATTAAATAATAATGTTAATTCTATATTTCAGTTTTTCTTATCTCTTTACTATACGGATGTATTTTGTCTATTTATCTTTTAATAGAATAGAATCTTTTACATAATCGGAAAGAACTCTTTTTCAGATTATAATAATACATGAATTAATAGGTCTACCTCACTCTGTATTAATTAAACAGAATGAAATCAAGTTTAATATTTGTTATTATTTTTTTATTAGATTTTAGGTTTCAAAATATAAATATGTAAGTAAGTCTAAACAAAATTCTTTTCACCATAGCAATTATACTCAAATAATATAATAGCAAATTTCAGTTGCAACATATGTACAATTTTTAAAACAAGTGCACAGGGTGTCCCACTTAACTTTCCCACTCCACTTATCTCGGTTAGTTCTGCAGATATAAAAATTTTGTCAAAATAAAAGTGGTATTGTTTTTTATGAAGTTTCTATTTGCAGCAACAAAAAACCGATTCAAATTTAAATGTCGATGTGACAGATATAACTTATTATTTCTGACAGCTTTTAATACAGGGTGATCCATTAACGGTATCGAGCGGCTGTATATAGAAAACTAGATGTGTTACGATTATGGGGTAAAAAATCTATTAACAAATACGACCAATAGAAATTGATTTAAAATATTTTCAAGTTTGTAACTTCATCGCTAGGGGGCGCAACTGCTATAGTGTTACAGAAAATTGTCGGTTTTTCGAAATTTCATTTATACAAGGTGTTAAAAAAATAGTGTAAAATATTTAAGGAGGTAATAGTGTGAACCAAAATAAGCAGAAAAGTCTCAATAAACATGGTTCCGCAAAGTAACGGTTGCGGAGATATGGAATGTTTTATGTTTTTAGCCCCTTTTTTATTTTGCAAAAACGTTGTGTATTTTCTTATAATATTGGTTGATGTTTAGTGAAATAAACAGTACGTATTTGACAGTTGTTCTCAATGCACAAGTTTTCTTTCGCTATGGCTGGTTATTCTAACGCAGAATTAACAGACATGCATTTCATGTATGGTCGTGCTAATGGGAACGCCACCGAAGCGCGACGTCTTTATGTTGACGCTTATCCAAATCGCCAGATTCCTTCACAACGCATATTGGGAAGAATTCACCAAAGATTGCGTGATACCGGTTCCTTGAGCAAACAGGCCATTTATCCGGAAGACCAAGGTCGGTATCCACTCCTAGAGCAGAAGAAGAAATTCTAGCACTGGTAGAGCAGAATCCAGGTACGAGTGTGCGGAGAATATCAGCCGAGGTAGGAATTAGTGGTCCTCTTGTTTGGAGAATCCTTCACGAGCAACTGCTTTATCCATACCATGTGCAACGAGTACAGGCTTAAATCCAATAAATGATCATCAAGCACGTTTGGTTTTTTTGCCGCTGGTTTCTACGTCATGATGCTGAAGACCCTCGTTTTCTTGCAAACATTCTTTTTACTGATGAGGCCGGGTTCACAAGAAATGGAGTGTTTAATTTTCACAATACGCATATTTGGGCCGACGAAAAGCCTCATGCTCTAATAGAATCTGGACATCAGGCACGTTTTTCATTAAACATTTGGATGGGTATTGTAGGTGACAGGTTTCTAGGTCCTGTTGTTTTACCAAACCGATTAACAGGCGCTGCTTACCTCAACTTTCTGCAGAACACACTGTATGAGTTTTTGGAAGACATTCCTTTGAATCAGAGGCAACAAATGTGGTTCCAGCATGATGGTGCTCCAGCTCATTTTTCCATGGCCGTTAGAGAGCATTTACACCAAACTTTTCCACATAGATGGGTAGGAAGGGCCGGACCTGTTTTATGGCATCCAAGATCGCCTGATCTGAACCCTCCAGATTTCTTTGTTTGGGGATATTTGAAGACATTAGTGTATGGTACTCCTGTAAATAGCCTGGAAGAGCTGCAGCTACGGATTAATCAAAAGTGTCAAGAAATCCAAACCAAGGAGGGTGTTTTCGAAAGAGTTCGAATATCGTTGAGACGAAGATGTCGTGCCTGCTTGGAAATGGACGGAGGGCACTTTGAACATCTTCTGTAACTTTGTTTTTTGTTTGTTAAAAGCTTCCTTTGTCGGTTTATTCCTAATAAAATAAAATGTTTGAAAAACGAATAGTGGTCCATATCTCCGCAACCGTTACTTTGCGGACCCATGTTTATTAAGACTTTTCTGCTTATTTTGGTTCATACTATTACCTATTACTACTATTACCCCTGAAATATTTTACACTCTTTTTTTAACACCCTGTATAACCTAAGTTGCAAATATATTTTTTATATACACTGTTAAACCCTTCATAAGTTTTGTTTGAACTTTTTTTTTGTTATTACCATAGCAACGTCAGTGTGAAGGACGCTATCTTGAAATTTTTAAATTGTCATAACTTCTAAATGCCTTAATCGATTTCAATAAACGATGGCTCATTTTAACCCATATCGCATAGACAAGATTGCCATGACTTTATTGATATTTTGTTTGCAATAATTATTTTGACACGTATGACAATTAAACTAACAATAAACAGTTATTGTGTATTAATTTTCGGTAAATTAAAGTGGGAAATATGCATTATACCAAAGAAGAACGTAGTAATATTGTCAAGAATATTTCAATAATAACAATAATTCTACAACTTTTATTTTAACAAAATTTTTATATTTGCAAAACTAACCGAGATAAGTGGGATGGGAAAGTTAAGTGGGTCATACTACCATATGTTATTATCTCACTGATTTATTATTATCAACATTTTCTTCCTTAGGTCACATAATTAGGTAATCAGCTCCCCACTGAAAAGAACTACATGGAGGTCAAATCTGGAAAGGAACAAAATTAAAAGGATATTCGATGTTTAGAATTTAGACTTTTAGTATTTTCTTTTTTCGATAGGAATATAACTCTCGGAAATATAATTTTGATTCCTTAATATAAAAAAATTGCTTAGTTCTATTCAGCCACAACTATTGCTACCTTATTAGAACTATCACATTGTGTTATCATTGTTTTGGATTTATCATGACTGTCTATTGTGTATTGTGAGTAAATAAACCAAAATATTGTGCCAACTGTCAAAATAAATATATCATATGTATATTGTAATCAGAAAAACCAAGGATATCAAAAACGACAAAAAAGGAATTAATTTTTTATATTTGATATGACAAGATAATTTTCTAAGATTTTGGTCTCAGTTATTATTTTTTAAATAGAAAAATGGGAGTGGAATATTATCTGAATATACAGACATAACAGCACTATATGTACCTATGTAGAGAAATTAATAAACATCTGAAATACATTTTAGGTTTGTGGAATACAAATAATGTTTTCTGAAACACAATTTACATGTTTTGAAATATGTACAACATTTTTAACACATTACGCATTTCTGTTTATTACGATACTGTTTATTTTGATTTTGCTACATTTAATTTATTATATAAATACATGACCATAGCATTGTTAAAATTTTAACAGGATGTGGGAATAATGACTAATAGACTAATATGATAATAACAACTACAGTGACGCCCCGCGCACATTCTTTTCCTTATGATAATATAGTAGTATGCAAGAGCATAATTATTGAAACTGCAGGCAGTTTCAGTAAAATTGAGACCAATCTTGAATAATTTACATAATTTACCTAATATAATATTTTGGTATCTGAGTTTCTGTATTTTTCTAATTAATATCTAATTGGCCATTAAAAAACTATTATGTGAGAAAAAAAATAAATCAATAAAAAAATAAATAATTGATTATTCGGTTAATAATAATAATAATAATTAACAATTTTCCTCAACGATTTCCGTGACCCCGTTTGCACAAGAAATAAGAATATCCCTCACAATCATCTTGTTACTACATATTACTTAGTTAATAATATACAGTATATCCGCGGTTAGGGTAAATAAGAGGAAGAACTTTTTTATTTTACATTTTACGCAAAAAGGAACACCACACTTGATAAAAAGTTTTGCTTTAATTTAAAATGAAGTTTGCCATGGTGAACTTAACATTTCAAGTACGGGGCGTCCAAAATATTTAAGAATATGAAAATTTCATGAGAGTACCTTTATTTTTAATATTTCTGAAAAGTGATATTTTGCAAAGGGCGTGCAAAAAAGTTACTTGAGTTTTTAAATAAAACAAATCGCACACAAAATTGGTTTAATTTTTTACAGAACGTAATAAATTTGGGAAAAAATTTATGTATAATAAAACATTATTTGAAAACTGCTCCGCCACACACTAATTTGAAGGCGTGCAAGGAATTCACTGTAGCTGCCTCTAGTCTCTTTTAAAGATATAGACTGTACAGCATCACTAATTCGTTGTTTTAGCTGCTCGATGTTATTGTCCAAAGGCCTGCTATACAAATCTGTTTAAGTCGGCCCACAAATATAAGTCCATGCTTGTTAAGTCTGGACAACGCGGGGGACAATGATATGGAGCATGCTGAATATCCAGCGATTGGGAAATGTGGTCTGTAACCAGGTCCTAACAGTTACAGTAGAATGCGCCGTCATGCTGAAAATAAAAACAATTTCTGTAGGTCAGTGGTAAATTATCCAATTCATTAGTAAAAAACGTTTGGAGCATATTCAGGTAGCTGTTGCCATTGCATGTATCTTCAAAGAAGTATGGTCCTATTATTCCGTAAAAGGATACTGCACACCAAACATTTACTTTTTTGAAATATTGTATAGCTGGTATTCTAAAATGAGGATTCTCGGTACAATATCGCACATGTTGTGAGGCAAAATCGAGACGTTTCGCTTCATCGCCTTCCTCTAAAGTGTGGTTCTGAATTGGTTTATAATCCAGAATTTTATTTTGTTTCAAATTTTTTTGTACGTGGGTCTTTTTCACAATTCCTAAGAATTATGTGCGTCTCCTCAGTGCCATGGTTGGATATTCATTCACTGACTGTAAAACTAGAACAGTAGCGACATCTTCATCATCATAGTTTTTCTATTGCCAAGGTGTTTTCCCAGTGACCCGGTTCTCGAAAATTTTTGAACTACTTTATGTAAAGACGACTGCACCACATGCACACCTGGGTATTTTTCATTGAAATCGTGAATAACTTGGCGATAACTGTTATCACCCTTACCGTAGCCTGTATTAATTACATACATTTTTTGCTGTAAAGTTAGCATTTATCCGATAATTAACTACTATTGGGTTTTTACAGTGACACAAGTGAAGAATAAAACGTCATTTTATTTACAACTTTCTATTTGAAATAAAAAAGTTTTTCCTCTTATTCACCCTAACCGCGCCGCGCACGTAAATATTTGTAAATAATCAAAGTAGGCCAATTTTTTCACAAATTGGAATTATATCGTATCTTTAAATTTGGAACAACTTTTCCTAGTGACACTTTTAATATTAAAAATAAAGGTAGTTTACTCTGGTGACATTTTCAGATTTTTTTAATTTCTGGACAACCCGTACATGAAATATTAAGTTTCACCATGGCAATCTCATTCTAAATTCAAGAAAAACTTTTTATCAATTGTGCCTTTTTTCCGTAAAATGTAAAATAAAAAAGTTTTTCCTCTCATTCACCCTAACCGCGATCATACTGAGATAATATTTATTCCTAACAAATATTCAACATTCAGTAGAAGCTGTGTGAATACGTAGTATATTTATTATAAATACCAAAAGACAAACATACAAATGTAGATACATTTTGAAAATAAAATTCTGAATCGTTTATATTAATTTATACTTTTAATTGCTGTTCTGTTCATGTAGCGCCATCTATATAAAATTTTTCCAATTATTCCTGTAGTCACAGTTGTCTGGTGAATAGCAGCAGTAGCAGGAATAGAACAACCTTGACAAACATTTGTTATATCGATCCGTCATGCGGTATGAAAACTGAAAGGTTTGTTGTGAGTGAATGAGTGTTATAACGAGTAAGTTAAATTTTGTATATATTTGCTGGTGTTTTCTATTACATTGTTTTGCATTATGATTAAAATATACGTTGTATACTTGTATAAATACGTTGTATAAATATTCGTGGGTATATACGTTGTATATACGTTGTAAATTCCGCAGAAACTAAATTTAACGTATATTATATTATTACTTTGTTTTGTCTCTGTTACACGACAGATAAAAATATATGCTTTGTTATAAAATGTTGCACATCTTCCCGGTAAGTGAAAAAGATATCACCCTGTATAAAACATCTTTTAGGACAGTAACTTTTGCAAGGCTTTTGCTTTGGGAATTTTTGCCATACTGAAAATTAAAAGATTTACTTAATGCCTAAATAAACTCCTGCAATACATAAAAACTTTCTCATTTAATTACAAGTGCCAAAATTTTGGATTACATTGAAGATTCACCACCGGAGATAATCCTGATTGTACAATGTACAAAAAGTTCAGTTGATCAGGCTTACCTTTACCATGTGTTCAAAATTATGTAAAAACTAAAACAATAGACAATAGTAGGCAACTCAGAAGAAAAATCAAATATTTTCCAGACAGCTTGTTTTTTATAAAATTAGAGTTATAATTAAGTCTTCTACTACCACATCAAATCGAGTCTCGTTTTGCATCTTCTCCTTTAAGAACATATATTGGCAACATTTCATCCAGTCTTCGACAGTAACTGATGAAAATTCTTCTGTTGAAATTTTCACAGCTTCTATTTTAAATAAAACATTTTTCTTTGCTACGTTTTTAACTTGAGCCTATATCATTTCAGTTGGACTTGTATGAGGATGGTAAGGTAGGAGCCTCAAAGCTACGTGCCCGTTTTCTTGGAATAAACTATCAAATTTGTAAACAATATGTTGTTTCCAAGCTTTTTAATAATGGTTTACACAAAAGGTACGTTTTCCCGAAAAGTTGTATTCCCCACATAATTTTTCTTCTATATAATTAATTCCAAGAAGTGACGCAGGGTTGTTTTTGCGTTCTATCTCAACAGATATCGTACGGAACTGTACAATAATTTATTTTGTAATACATTATTTTCATTGTCATTACGTGCTATTGCCCAATATTGTCTAATTTTATTTCATGAATAGGTACTCTAAATAGGTCTTTATATAAGACTAAATATTTAATCATGTATATTTATTTATTTAAAACTTAAATTAAACATTAACTGTAGATAACATTACTGTTTAATTTGATATCATGGATGAAAAAGATGATTTTGTGCACTGAAAAAGGTGGAAGAGTATTTAGTTACCAAAGCAGACAGATATTTCGCTATTATTTTTAGTACCAGTAGAAATTGTTTATTTTGATGTAGAGACAAATCAAATTTATTTAATACCAATGTAAGTATTTCAAGACAAATACTATAAATTATGGAAGTATAACAAACGCACAAATAAAGTTTAGGTATACAAATTTGCTAAATCTCTTATCTTGATTTTACAGGAATCTAAAATATTGTAAAACCATGAATTCGAATTCAAAAAGTGATTGATGAAGCATGTAGTTCTTTATTACATATTAATGAGACATTTTTAATTAACTTTATTGTAGTCTAGTTATTTTATCAGAAAAGTATTTATATGATGACAACAGATGATGGCAGAACATTAGGTTTATTTTTCTCGAAAGTAAAATCAGGATTATTATTTACTGAATTAAATAAAGTCGAAGTACAATGTGGTGTTTAGATATCCGCTAGCTTTTTCTTTTCTTCTTTAACTAAATCCTACAAAAAATATTTTTCATTATTCGTTAAGGTTAGTGATGACAGTTTTTGTACTTTCCTATTGTTCTGATATTTATTTTCATTCATCTTAACGTAATGTAGACGAGTTTAGAGTTACGTAATGAAATTTTTTATCTCCAGCTGTTGCCAGCTATCGTAGTAAATTAAACAAGAATATATAAATATTTACTTTTATATGGTGGATCAGTTGTTTCCAGGTATTGGTCTACTTCTGAATGCGGTTTTACAAAGAATTAATTCTTTTGGAAAGGTTAATTACATTGCTGTTTCTTTACCTGCTAAATATTCGAGTGTTTTTTAATATTTTCTATGGAAAAAAATTACAAAAATAGAGATTATTTTATATATATTTTTAAATTGGATACTTTGCCATATGTAAGCAAAATTTAATTAAGGTTTTAGGTGAGTCCGTACCCACGTGTTACGCACAACATTTTTGAGTATAAGTTAAAACGTAAATTATTAAATTGAGATTTTTAGAATGACAAATTTTTACAAATAATCTAGACACTGTAGTTTTTCCGGTGCTCTTTTTGATTTACGTTACAATCTTGTTTTCAAAGGAATGTGCCTACACAAGAAAATGATTATTGTCCGAAAAGAGAAATTTGGTGGACTAGTTTTAGCTCTCTTAACATAAATTCTGGAATGTATACGAAAACATGTAACATGTATCAGGACATTAAATTATTTCGCCTATAAAAAATGTACAACTCTAGTGTCTCAGTCTGTATTTAACTTCAAATGCATAATTTTGCTTGTGCAGGAGAAGCAAATCTCTTTCAGACTTGCCAATTTGCCATCTAAATGTCAAACCAATCTTATCTGTCATATAAAAACATAGAATAACTTAAGTGTATGTTACATGCAACTTGACAGAGAAACAATATTTAGTTCTAGTTCTTCTGCAGATGGTAAAATATTTAATTATACAGAGAAAAGTAAAATGCATCACAAATAAATATTTTCAGACAACATTTTTATTTCCTACTTCCTGTAATGTGTTCCATTTTGAGTAGCTGCTGTTATGATTTTGAAAAATGGGATTCGAACTCGATCAAAAGGATCAAAACGTACTATGAAAAAACTATCAAAATTATACGTTTATACTTGGTGTATTTCTTTACAATGAAGTTGCTCAAAATGAAACAAACTGTATGTTTTTTTTTGGGAGGGTCCAAACTATTATATTATTTTACCGCAACTTTATTAATATAACGCATTGCTAATTTATCTGCCCTCGTGACATACGATGCTAATGATCATGATTCAGAAATCCTATAATCTTTTAATGGGCAATTAAGTGATAATTTTTATTACTAGTAATTACTAATAACAATTCAAGTTCAATTTAATGTATTGTGCTTAAATTGGATTACATATGTAACTTTGGGAAGCGACATCTAATGATAAGTAGAATAACCAATCAAATACGTTAGGCTAGCGTTATTTTGACTGAGCATGAGTTAACAGTTCAATGGTGTTACTAACCGGCCTCATTAAATGCTAATAGTGAAATTTTGATGTTTTAAATTATCTGCAAACTTTTAATGTACTATTGAAATAATTATTTTTGCAACTATTTTCGTCACCAACTGAATATGCATTCAATTCTTACTAGCATTTTGGCATGAGTTACTTGTTTATAAAAAAATAGTGTTGTTTGTCACCTCGTTGTCGACAAATATACTTGGGGTTTTTACTACGAAGATTTATCTGAGTTTAGAACAACGGTCCAAATTTAAGGTTTTGTCCGAATTTAAGAAGGAAACGAGGAGGGTCAATAAGGCCGGTTTTCGGCTATATCAAAATTCATCCTAATCATATAGAATATATTTTTTGGAGCTTCAGAAACAATATTAAATCGATTCTAAGCAAAGCGGATACAACCCCCAACCCGAACATTAAAAAATGCTTAAAATTGTGATAAAACCATTTACATCTGATGTACCTACAGAATCATATAAATAATATTTTTCGGGCACAATTTAAGAAAAACATTTGTTTATAATCATAAAAGTAAACTTTATGAGACGTATAAATATGGGTTTATTACGTTATTAAGAGTTTTTGAGTGTTTTGGGAAGAGAGGTTTAATCCTTTTTGCCTAGAATCGATTTAATATTGTTGCTTTAGGTTAAAAAACTTATTCCATATGTTTAGGATCAATTTCTGATAGGGCGAAAACCTGAGTTAATGACCCTTCTACTTTAAATTTTCAAAAAAAATAAAATGTCTTAAATAATAAACAGATGTAGGTAGATTAAAATCTGTCACTATCACGACAACTCTTATATCTTTCTATCATTCTCAATTTGTTGCTCGTATACGATATGGTATATGGTATTATATTTTGGGGTTCTAGTTATATTAATAGAATATTTAAAATACAAGAAAAAGCTATTAGACTTACAGTTGGTGTATCACAAAGAACGTCATGAAAAAAATATTTTAAAAAGCTGAAATTGTTGACTTTGCCCTCTCTATTTATCTACGATGTCTTAATGTATGTTAAATATAATTTAAATTAGTTTACAATCAATGGAGATTTTCACAATTATAATACACGAGTCAGATCATCGCTAGTTGTCCCTGGGCATAACTTGTCACTGTATGAGAAGAATCCTATCTATGTTGGTATTAAGTTATATAATAAGCTTCCCCCAGAAATAAAAAAACATACAGAGCATGCAGTTGTTTTAAAAAAATTTGAAAAAATATCTATTATAGAACGTTTTTTATAGCACTCATGAATTTCTTAGATATGCGTAAATTGTTATAATTGTACCCCACTAATTAGGTATATTTTATTTATTCGTTTTTTCTATGTTTTAAATATTTCTTTTAATGAATTCTGGAATAAAAATTGTTATTATTATATCGCAATATGACCAGGCATTCAAAAAAGCTTTAAAATTTATCAAAGGTGGGAAATTGTCTTTAAGATTGACTGCTGAGCAACATGGCGTTTCGAAACATTATTCCACGAATACATTCTTCGAAATACTCGGGACCGGTGAGGCGGTTTCCTCAGAAACTGACAAAAACAACTCGATTGAGGGAATATTAGGTCGTCCGAATTTAATCCCTAACTTTAGATAGTAATAATTAAAAAAAAAGGTGAAATATTTTTAACATTCAGCAAAGTTACATTTATTCCGCTTGCTCAATTTTGCCCAATAAATGAAATATTGAATCCATCAATAGAATTTTACATGCAAGTTTTGTTAATAATTATTTGGGATTACACACTTTTACGGTACAAAAAATGTCTCCATAATTTAAATAGTAAATGTAGATGGTTGTATTTCATTTAGTGAATCTAAACTCGATGAATGGACGAAATTCTACGTGTGTGAACTGATTACATATGTATATTATTATAAAAAATAACTTCTGATAATGTTAATTGCGTCACTTCGATAACATAGGTATATATCATACCAACAACTAGGTACATTTTCAATCAGTTCGCTTCCTCGCGTAGGTGAACATCAGCAGCCTTTGTGTTTAATAGACTTTCAGGGGGAAAAACAAAATATCAAGGTAATACCATTAATTACACTTAATTAATTCAATATTCTCTAATTTCGGAAATTTTTAATTTCCTTTTACAAGTACCTGAATGACGGAACAATTGTTGCTTATATAACATCATCACTAAAAATATATTAAAATTATATTAAACAAAGAAATGTCGAATTGTCAACTTTTGTTACTTAATTTATTTTTTAAGATTATTATACAGGGTGTTCAGAATAAACTTGATTGTACTTCAAGCTACGTTAGTACAACTTTACTTTCTTAGAAAGCCGTAGGCCTTTAGAATTTTTTTTTTTTGAGTACATATTTGTATACATACATTTAATAATTACATTTATTGTAGGTATGTATATATTGTCAATAAATATATATACAGGGTGATTCATTAACTATGGGAAAATCGAGAGCTGAAGATACTGCCTTCTGAAAGTTGATAGTTTCGGAAATACAGGGTGTTGAAAGTAAAAATTTTAAATCGTTTTTTGCGATTATTCTGAAAATATGTAGGTTAGGAACTAACCGACGAATAAGATGCGTGTTGTAAATTCAGCGTTGCTGACGACCAATTTTACCGAAAATTTAGTTAATAACT